GGACCATATATCTTGATACAATTGCTATTGTATAGACGCAAAGAAGTTAAAGATAACCTGTCATGACTGAATGTTTATTAGTGTAGGATTGAATTACATTTACTATCTCTTGTGGGACCAGTTGATGGAGAATCAAATATATGTCGTGCGTATTGTCATTTACGTTGGCTAAACCATGAACGCTATTAAGGATGAATTTAGAAGATTTTTAAAGAAAATGTTTATTATAAACGTTGTGAATGAGTGATACTACTGGAAATGAAAGCAGTAAGTTTCACAATACCTGTTACGAAACTTCAGTTGTTTTTGTTTTATTTTTATTTTTAATAGAATTAGCTAATATTTTTGGATTAATTAGATTAAGTAGTATAGATTTTATAGTAGACTTTAGTATAGATTGTTATAATGTAATTTAATAAAATAATTTATTATTCAATAATATTTAACATTGACATATTAACATAAATAATAAAATATTGATATGATGTTTATTATCTTAAAATAATGTACATCGTTAATGAACATTAAATTTAGGTGATGCACATCAAATGTTGTGACATCGGTAGTACATTGCAGGGTCCGATGTTCAGCGTTTCTTTATGATGTACATCAAGTGACTGATGTACATTTGATGAACATTTTTCCCGTGACTTCCTGATGTAGCCGTACATCGTGCAAAAGTTCCCAGATCTCATTCAGACAATGGAAGTGATATACAAAAAATGTTAGAGAGCCGGAGAAAGCAGTTTAAGAAAATACTTGAAAAGGAATTTGACAAGCGCGGGCAATTCAAGTTTGCTCTATGTTCTCTTACCAAATTTCTTATAGATGATAAACCTGGGAATGATAAACCAGAAAAAAAGAATTCACAGACTGATTGGCTTAGAAATAAGCAAATTATAGTTAACAATAAAGCTGAAATAGATGACTACTTAAGCAATGCTTTCGAACAAATATTATACCAAGTGGAGGAGAGAGGAGGTAAGTCTAATGCTTGAGAATATATTTGGGTGGTAATACTGTGTCTGGCGGGACAATTTGAAGTTCTTCTCTTACAAATGAGCATCTAGGACCATTGTAAAGCTTATAGAGAACAGGTTGATTTTCTTTTATCAAATAAGAATTAATTGTAAAGACTTCGGAAGACCAATTGCAATCAGTTGCCCTTCTTCTCCCACCTTCTAATTCGCCAGGTTCTAAAAGGTGACGAACTTCTGTATAACTAGGTAAAAGAGGTTCATTATAACCAACTAGCCTCCTATGTTTTACCGAAGATTTAGCTATTATTTTTTTTCCTTTTAATGCTAATTTTACAGCTTCATGGGGAGACATTCCTATTAACTGAGTAGGAGTGTTATTGTAAATATCATCATTTATACGAAGTCCCTTAACCCACGCTCTAGATCTATCACTTAAAGGTAAATGAAAATCTACAGCATCTTGCCGAAAATAAGCATACTTTTCAAATTCTTGATGGTCACGTTCAGCAATAGCTACAGAACGTTTAGAGTTGGCATACTGAATTTTTACACCATGTCTAAACAATAAATCCTTACATTCACCCATAAACTCAGTACCTCTATCAATGATTAAAACATTTGGCCAAATAAGAGGGCAATTTGGGTCATCATAAATTTTTTGAAATGCCTTGGCCACTTGTGCAGATGATTTATTGGTTAAAGCAAAACTACGACGAAATCTAGTAGCTACATCTTTTATTACATGCCTATGCTTATAAATTCGATTGCCTATTTTACAATGAGAAAATGGTGTAGTATCAGATTGATGAACATCATTTAGATCTTGTATATCAATAAAAGAAACATACTGAATGAATTTAGGCCGAGGCTTATGTATCTGATATAAAGCTTGACGGTTTAGCCATTTTTTTATCACAGCTAAAGTGAAATCATACCCAGCTTTCTTGCAAACAACCAGCATCTTTTCAGCAGTCCGATAATAACCTTCAGATCTGTAATAAAATTTCTGTAAAGTAAGATCCCGATCTAAGTCTTGAGCTTTTTGAAGATCGATATAAATAACCGGTCTTTCGGCTTGGCGCTCTCCCATTCCAATTTTTATAATTACGAAAAAAAGCTAGCATCTATAAAATCAGATTCTATTTATTAGCTAGAGCACTTTTTTCCTTGCGGTTAACAAAAATATGTTTCTTGAATAAGTATCCTAGCTTTTCAAAACTATGGAGTATTACGAGCTATGCAAATTAGACGAAACTGTACCTTCGAAAAAACAGAATCCATTTGCTCCTAAACTTCCATTTAGACTAGAAGTTGCGGGCACCTCTGAGTCAGGAAAGACAAAGATGGTAGTACATCAGCTCCTAGGAAGTAAATATCCAAAAGTATATCCATGGATGTCTGGTGAAAAACGTGGTCATAAAATACCAAAAGACAAAAGCAAAAATTTTGGTAAAAGATATATTAAGTGTGATGATCTAATTGTTGTTAAGCAACACCAAGATGAAGAGCTATGAGAAGTAGTACAATGTTTTTATGAATTTATAGCCATGGATAAGCAAGCTCCATGGTATGAAAATATGAGATTCAAGCTAATCGCACCTGAAGATCTACCTGATATTTCATCTTTAAAAAGAACTGGCCGATCTACTGTTATAGTCTTTGATGATCTTGCCGGAAAACCTTTGGCAACTCAGCTAAAAATTGTTCCTTTCTTTAGATCAGGCAGACATGAAGGAATTAGCTCAATTTATATTGCCCAGCATTTCTATGAAATCCATCAAAATATACGCAGAAATTTTAAATATATTTCAATGCATCGTGGATGTGAAACATTAGATAGTATAAAACGAATTCTTAAAGATATGTATGATGATTATGAGCCTCTAGCAAAAAAAGTTTATGAAGTGATAAAAAAACATTTCGTGGTTATTGATATCCAAAGACCATCTGATGACCCCTTATCAATTAGATTTAGATGGGACAAACCTTTAAAGGATTGGCAAAATGATTGAATTCAGGATGATTCGTGCTTTGTGGCCTCATCTATATCCATAAGGTAAAGTTTCATAGGGGGTAGTCCTGTCTTTTGGTTCTTCTGCGTATCAGATTGGAAACCCATAACTTTTATTTCTATAGTCTGAATAAAAAGTTTCTTTCTTTTTGGTTGGATGAAAATATCACCTGTATATAAGCCATATAATTAATATTACTGTAAAGGCAAGAATAATAAAGAAGAATATAAGTGGGATTATTTTCTGATCATTAACTAAAGTATTACTATTACCTCCTAACGCAATAACAGGTACGGCTGGAATACTATCATAATCTCCTTTTCCATCAGGTTCGCACACTGAGTAGTGTGAAGGAAAATGGGGTATCTCTTCTACTACTTCATCATGCTTATAATCATTAGATGATGAGACTGGGTCCGCTTCTGCACTACCTATTTTTGAATCATGAATTATCTGATGTGGTTGCGAAACAATCTGATCTAGTTCATCTTCCAGATTACTTACCCTGGACCTGAGACAGAAAATTAACCTATCCTTAAATGATGAATTTTGCGTAACTTTTTCCAGTTCATTTTCTAATTCTTTTGCTTTAATCTCAAGAGAGGGATTGCTACACAACTGGTTAGTATCAGAATTCTTTAATAAAACTTTCTGCATAGCTTGTTCCAACTCAGCCTCCAGTTCATTTATTTTAGTTCCAAGAGAGATGATATCAGAATCCTTCAAAGATGAATCTTTTTGCATCAAAGATATTATACTTTCCAGTGATTTAACCGTAGACTTTAGCGATTCTATTTCTTTTAACTGCTTGGCATTAAGATCGGCATGAGACTTTTGTTCGCAAGTAATTTGGGAAACAAGCTTATTATTCAAACCATTTAGTTGATTAGCTAGAGGAATCATTTGATTCATAGATTTTTGCATAAGCTCATTTTCTTCATAGGAGCGGTCTAGATCATTTTGTATACTCTCATTTTCTTCATGAGAGGCGTCCAAGGCGCTTTGCATACACTTATTTTTTTTATCTAAGGCATGATATTTAGTTATAAGCTGTTTGGCAGATCTTATAAATTTTTCGCGATCTTTTTTTAGCTGTTCTTCAAGTTCTAATCGGCTTGGTAGATATCGATTGGATGGAGAGCTTCCAAGTTTACTGCTATTACTATTACCTACCGTATATAGCGGGCCACAGTACCCTGGGTATCTTGCAAAAATCGGGGGTTTGACCCTGTACCCCCGGGTACTAAACAAAGCCTAAAAATTCCGTTTTTTGCGAATATCTCACGATCTACCGGTCCAATTTGAACGATCATTTTTTTATTTTGAAGAGCTCAATGAGAGCTATCAAACAAAAAACAGATGGCTCAAATCTGATCACTAGATCACGAGATAATTGTAAAATATCCCCCCAGGTACTATACAATTCTATGAAATTTTTCAAGGGGGGTACTATGCATAGGGGGTACTATGGCCCACGATATACGGTACATCGTTTAAAGTGTAGATTTGAGGCATAGTTTTTTATCTCACAAATATAGACAAAAAAAAAAATAATAACATTTTTCAAAATAATATGCTCTTCCTATATTTCCAAAATGATACATTTATCCTAATTATCCCAATAAATCTTTTCGAATTAATGTATTTATCCTATTTATTCTATTAAATTATTTTCGAAATAATACATTTTTTCTAAATATCATAAAAACTACGCTTATCTTATTTATTTCAAAGAATACATTTTTTCTAGTCATCCTATTTAATATTTTTTGAAATATTTTATCTGAAAAAAAAATACATCATCGTGATTATAGTTAGACAGCGTATAAATTGTAATGCGCCTTTATTTTCAACAGCTGATTACAATTTTATTATGCAACGTGAAAATGAAAGGCCGAGAAAGAAAGTTTTAGATGAATTGATGGACAAATATAAGACATCAATGAAGCGCATATATCAGATTTGGAGAGGCGAAGAAGCTAATAGAATTGTCTGGAATCAACCAATAGCTGATATTTCTAATACTACATATGCGGGTGGGTGTTTACCTGTAGTAAACTACGACTCACCTCCTGCTATTTCCTCTCCACCTGCCTTACCACTGAAGAAAAATAGCCGAAAAAAGAAAACAGGTAAAATAAGTGTAGCATCTACTGAGACGGAAACAGAGGTACTTTCACAGCGCAGTGCTAATACCACTGATAATACTGATAATATATCTAAAATGGGATCTGAACTTGAAGAGATATTAAAACAAATGGATAATATTAAATAACTTACTTCTTTTCAGCAAGTATTTTTATAGCACTTATTGCCTTACCAAGCCACTCTTCAGCTTTTGCAAGACGTTATTCAAGCTTTACACACTTTTTTTTAAGTCCTCCTCACTATTTGGGCTAGAGGAGTTGGTAGATGCTTGGTCCTGATCTTCTTTTAGCAGATCTTCAACTTCTGAAGCTTTGCTAAAAGTTGGGATAATGTAAGCTTTCCCATGTAACTTCATTCAGAATTGATTTTTATTTGGGTCAAGGACACCTTGAACTTTCCTAATCCATATCATACCTAAACATAACATTAGTTCAGGTTCTCCATTATCAATACGAGTAAAATTTCCAGTAGCTGTGACAGTTTTACCATCCTTATCCTTTATACTGATTGGTACATCAGTAAACCATTCCAATGAATCAGTAATGTGTTTGGAATTACCTTTTATTGCGAAGTCTGATAGCTTATCAGCTTTCCATCCAAGGGCATTAATTGTTGCATTATTCGCTCCCCCGAACTCACTCGCACTATCTAAAAAAGAATTAGAGATCGTTAAATCATCTATTTTAGCATTCAGATATTGTAATGATGAAAACCACTCATCTGATATTGATTCTTTCTTCTGAACTGTATGAGACTGACACATTTTTCGCATTGCCGGTGAAAGTTTTGGAAATAATTCATCATATGTTTTTGGCTGACTGGACTCTAGAGG